CTTGATCACAAAACCATCTGGTTGTTCTACATAAACTTCTGCTTCAAGAACTCCATTCAGAAAGGCAGATTTCACATCTAGTTGGTATAATTTCCAACTTTTCTGAGCTGCCAACGCAATTAGAGTCCGAATTGTATCCAGTCTAGCTACAGGTGCAAACGTTTCATTGTAATCCACACCTGGTTTCTGAGCATATCCTTTGGCTACCAGCCTAGCCTTATGCTTTTGCACTGTCCCATCGAGATTAAGCTTGGTCTTGAACACCCACTTAACCCCAATTATGGGTTTATCACTTGGTCTGTTCACCAGATCCCATGTTGCATTCTTCTCAATCATTGACAGTTCATCTTGCATAGCCTTCATCCATGCTTCATCTTTGGCTGCCTCTTCAAATTTTTCAGGTTCCATAATACAAAGATTGTATTGTGCCAACACATCATCTAGATTTCTCCATTTCAATGGAGTGTGATCAAAGGCTTGAGTCCTTCTCATGCTGCTGTCCACATCACTTACAGATTCATGAGAAAAAACCAGATTTGGTGACAGAGCATAATCATTTTCCTCTGAAGTTGTCTCTGATGAGATACATTTAGGCTGCACAGATAACTCACTAGGATTAAACACAGTTACATAGTTCTCAGGAGCTGTCTTCCATTCCCAGGCTGCATTTTCATCAAACACTACATCCCTTGAGAGTATAAGCCTTTTACTAAGAGGATCATACACTCTGTACCCCTTTTCACAGGTTGCATAACCTACAAATATGCCCTTGACACTCTTTGCATCTAGTTTCTGTCTCAACTCATTTGGTGTGTGTACATAACACAGACACCCAAAGATTCTAAGGTGTGCAATTCCAGGTTTTCGACCACTGAATGCTTCAAATGGAGTTACTTCTCCAAGAGCTCTTGTAGGACACCTATTCAATATGTAGACAGCTGTGAGTACAGATTTTGCCCATAAGTAGTATGGTAGTCCTTTGTCATGGAGCATAGCTTTTGCCATCTCAACTACAGCTCTGTTCTTCCTCTCTACTACTCCATTCTGTTGTGGAGTATAGGCCATAGATAACTGTCTTTGAATCCTTGCATCTTCACACAGTTTGTTGAATTCACAAGATGTGAATTCACCCCCTCTGTCACTCCTAAAACATTTTATCTTAAAGCCACTTTGTAATTCCACCATGGACTTGAATTTTCTAAAACAGATCAATGCATCTGACTTGTATTTAAGGAAATAAACCCACATCATTCTTGTACAGTCATCTACAAGAAGCATGAAATATTTGTTACCTGCCAGAGAGTCATTCTGCATAGGACCACACAGATCTACATGCACCAATTCTAGAGGTTTACTTGCTCTCCATGCCTGATTCTTTGGAAACCACTCTCTGTGCTGTTTCCCAAACTGACAACCTTCACAAACTTCATCCATTTCTTCTAAAACAGGGAGACCATGCACCATTTCTTTGTTCTTAAGCTGTTGAAGACCTCTAAAATGCAGATGGCCTAGTCTCTTGTGCCATATCCAAGTAGACTTAGAAATTCCTGCTCTCAGTACAACCTGATCATTTGGTATCAGTGTCAAAGGATAACACCTGTTCTTTTTCATTTCAACCTTGAGTACAAGACAATCCAATGAAGGTCCATCAAAGATACTACACATCTTTCCCCCAAATAACAGGTAGTAACCGTGTTCATCCATCTGCCCCACACTTAACAGATTTTCCTTCAACCCAGGTAGGTACATTACTTCTTTGACATATTTTCTGCCTTTGCTAGTGTCTATCACAAGTGTACCAAAACCTGCTACATTCATGAGTTCCCCTGTGGGCATTTGAACCTTGCCAACCACATTTGTCTTCATGTCTATCAACAACTTAGAATCCCCTGTCATATGGTTGCTACAACCACTGTCTACATACCATTCTCCATTCACTTTTGATTCAGTGATTGTGCTATTTGCATAAAACAGATTCCCTGTCACCTCTACCTGATTAGCACTATTTGCCTTTTGCACTAATTTACCTACTGTGCACTCTCTAGCCCAGTGACCAAATTTTTCACAGTTATAGCATTTAGGTTTCCCTTTATATCTACACTCTCCAAAGTGAAACTTAGAACATACCCTGCACTGTGGTTTTGTACCTATCTGCCCCATTGACTGTGCATTATGTGCAGAATTAGCAGGAAATTTCTGCTGAAACTTAGGTTTTGAACCCCATTTCTTGCCCTTATTATTCCAATTTTTCTGGAACTGAGATGAACCAGATTGACCTTCACCCCTATTCTGCTCTTTTGAACTCACTGAGAAAGATGAGAATGCTTTCCCAGTAGTATCAACATTATGCAGATCAAACCGTTGTTCTTGACTCTTTAAGATTGCAACTACTTCCTGCAACTCTACAGTTTCTAGACACTTGGTGTTTTCTATAACCAAACAGATAGAGTCATAAGGTTTACTAAGACTAATCAGAACCTTCTGCACAAGTCTCTCATTCGACAGAGATTCACCAAATGTTCTCATTTGATTAATTAGCTCATTCAGCCGTGTAAGATAGCTAGATAAAGACTCATCATCTCTCATCCTAGCATATTCAAACTCTCTCCTAAGATTCTGCAATTTCACAGATCGTACCTGATCACCACCGTGATACTCCCCGTACAACAAATCCCATGCCATCTTAGCTGACTCGGCATTGGTGATTCGTGGGAAGATCTGATCCGAGACTGCATTCTGAATGATTCCCAAAGCCTTTGCGTCTTTCATCAGAACATCTACCATTTCTTCATCATCCTCCGATGCTTCTCCAGCTTCCTTCTTCTTCGGATTGGAGGTTGCAATCCCCTTCTCTACCAGATTCCATAACCCAAGGGATTTGAAAATCGTTGCCATTTTAATTCTCCAGAACTCGTAGTTCTCACCGGAGAAAACTGGAGTCCTCACTTCCGAGCCTCCAGATCCAGACATGTTTTGATCTGAATCGACAACTTTCACGGAGCTTCAAGAGAGCTTCGATTGAGCTCAAAATAACTTCACAGATTTACGCCTAGATTGTTAGACCCAACTAGGCTCTGAGGCCATGTTAGTGTAAATGGAAAAAACTGGTTTCGATTTAGAGAGAGAGCAAAACAGATAGTAAGAAAATATGAACAGAGAGGAAACTGAATAGTTTTCTTCTTTCACTCTCGCCTTAAACTTGCAGAGAGGAGAGTTTCTTCATATATCAAAAAGTGAGCACTCACATGCTTTTTACATCACAGTTAGCCTAAACTTGGGACCACACACTCTACAATTCATCTTAGACACTCATCTCACTAATTACATGGATCAATCAACACATGGCACTCATGGCCTTTTAGTAAAATTAACCTCTACACTTTGCAACATTTTGCATAAGTGAATACACCAATTTAGAACATCTTATTTAGACTTTTCAGCTCAACACTTATAATTCAACATACTTGAAATCAAAGAGCAACTGGCGACACAATGACGCTAACATTGAACTCTCCGGTGGTGGCGGGCGGGCCGAATGCGACAACGGGTTCACTGACATTTCGTGGCCATCCATCAGTCCTAGATTTGGTATCAAAATTCAGAGGAGGAGGATCAAGTGATCATTCATAAAAATAAAAAAATAAAAAATCCTCAGCTGCTCGATACAAAGGTGTTTGATCTCCAACCCAACTTGCTGGTTATATAAATTTTGTCACGTCCAAATTCATTCAAATAAAATTATTTCATCAATTTATCTAAAACCAAAATTAGGGCGATGCCATCCAGACACACAATATTGACAAAATTATATCAAACGTCGTAGGATAAGAGAGAACTGACAATGCACCTACTGTAGCCTCCTATGGGAAAACCCAAGAAAATCAGCTTGACTCCTACTACTTTCCAGCGACAACCCGAGAAGAAAACTTGTGACTCCAAGAAAATCAGCACCAAGAATAACCACAGAAGCTCTCCCTAACCCGACAGGAAGCCGCCGCCTAAACCCGGATTGTAGTGAAGCAAATTGGTCCGCTGGGGGCCTTTCTGCCCAGATTATTGTTACCTCTCGCACCCTATTTCCGGCAGCCGGAGGACAGTGTGATTATGCATATATCTGGTTGAGCATATATGTTTGCATGCATGAAAGTAGTGTGGCAATGCCGGCAATTGTCCAAACGAGTGGTGGCGATGGAAGAACTCGTCCGCCCTTCATATCTAACTCAACATCTTCACTGAGCCAACCCTAATTACTTACCCATAAGTTGTACTTATTTTGATGAAGGGGTATGGATTTTTGAACGAGCAGATATGTTGCATGGTTTAAGTAAAGTTATTAAGTTAAACTGTCCATCGTCATGTTTTTTTATCCTTTAATTTTTACCTATTTGATTTACACATAGTATAACTTTGACTGCCACTTAGTATTATGGTCTACAAGTATTTCTCTTTATATGTAAGTGAGATGTCTTAGGTTTGATTCTCACCAAGACGAATTTGAACCACATTATTACTAGCCCATTGTGAAACTTAGCTCACTCCCCCACCCCTTAGTGTAGATAATATCATTTCTTAAAAAAAATAAAAAAATAAAACTTTTACTAGATGAAATATCACACTTCCATATAACTTATTTTTAATGGAATAAATTAGAAAACCTAACTCCATGGCTAATGACATGCCATTAAGCTAAGTACTCAATGAGTCATTTCTAAAACGTCTTCTCATGGAAAATTTCTCGTACCACACTCCACACATATGCTACATAAAAAGTTAAATACAAAGAATTCCGAAACTAAATATTTTGGCTCCCTTACAAAAGTTAATTACTTTGGCATTTGAAAAAAAGAACGAGACTGGGGAAAAAGAAAGAAGAAGGAAACATTATCAAAATAATTGCCCTATTCCTATTTCTAATTCAATAATAAAAGATCTATAGTAACGTCGAAGAACCTTGAAATAAAGTCCTAAAATTAACAGGAGAAAAACAAAAAAAAAAAATCTTAAAGAAGATCGACCGAAACAGTTCATTTCTGTTTGCTGAAACTAAAAATTGTCACCGGAGATTATAACATGTGAAAACCTAGCTAATGCAGATAGTAAAACTAAAAAACTACACTTAATTAATCAAGCTTCTCATTCATCCATGACCAACTGATCATGATCGTCCAAATCTTTGCATTCTTAGGTGATCATCATGATCATCAATTCCTCCGAACCCCAACTGATCTTGCTGGCCATGTTGTTGTTTCTGCAGATCATGAAAGTTTTCTGCTCTATTATTATTACCCGATCCTCCAAGCCCTAAAAAGTCAACGGTCAACGTATCACCGTTACTCACATTACTAGCACCCCCGAACCCTATTTTATTTGAAGTCCCATTATTTTCATGCTCCATGTTCTTCAACAAACCATCGTTCTGAGTATGATCGAATAACATCCCGCTAAACATCCCCAGTTGCGCATAATTAGCGCCAAAAAACTGCGGCGAGGTCTCTAATTGCAGAATGTTATTAGGATCTCTCTGCTGCATGAAGGGGTTCATGTTGTACCCACCAGTAGCTGTACCATAGGTTGAGGGTGCCATGCTTGTTATGGTTGTACCACTAGGGTTAGGGTTAGGACCACCACTCATAGTTGCACCCATTTGAGCCGCTTTCTGTAGCAGTTGCGTGGCGGATAAATGGCCTGATGAGTTGGGGATGAGTGATTGACCGTGCCCGCTGTGGTTTAATCCGAACAGTAGTGACGATGGTGATGTTGATGATGAAGTGTTGTTGTTTAGGGTTCTCGGTAACATGTTTACGGGTTTTGTGGGCATTGGGAAGGGTAGTTGGGGTTCTAGGGTTAAAGGGGCATTTTTGGCATCAAAATTATGATGAAATTGATCAGATGTAGTGGTATCTGATCTTGCTGACGATGGGTTGTCGGTAATTTTGTTGTTCATGGGCGGTGATGCCGGGATGACGAGCTCACTGTTGGAAAGTTGGCCTTGGTTTGGTGCTCCCATAATATTGTTGGACATTGGTACTACTCCTTGGTTTCTGTTGTTCTCTTCAGCTATGGCATCACAAAAAGCTCTGTGGGTGATGAAGCTATCTCTTCTGCACAATGGATAGCCAATAGTTATCGTAAGCTAAACTATATAAAGTTTATGAGACTCGAATTTAGACGTATTTAACAAAGTAGAAACTGAGTACCATCACAGTAATTATTATTATAAGCCAAAGAATCCCACCGGTTAAGGGAAAAAAAAAAAAAAAACTGAATATATAAGTCTCTTGATTAGTGGCCGGCGTGTATAGACAGACAAAATTAAATAAGATTAATGTATTAAGTACCATATACATTTATTCTATTGCATAGAAGGTTTAATAACAAATGATTGTTGAATAAGAATGATTAGGACTTTCAATAATAAATTTTGGAAAGATTAGTTTCAGTCAAGTTGTCAATATTAAATATATATGTATATACATACATACATACATACATACATATATATATATATATATATTATTAATTTTATATGTTCATGCATGCACAAGCAGCACAACATATCTATACAAAACATTTGTCAGAGTAGTTGTTCAAATTGTATAATTATATAGACAGTAGTATAATTTTTTTATAATAAACTCATATTTTCTAGAATATTAATTTAATTACCTGGAGAAGATGGTTCCACAGTCACACCTGTATTCTCTAGTACCACAGGTCTTTTGATGAGCTTTCCAGTCCGATTGCACCGCGTACTTCTTGGAGCACTTGTCACATTTCCAGGTTTTCTCACCGTGCTTCCGGAAAAAGTGCTTTTTGATGCCCGTAAGATCCCCGAGCGCCCGCAATGGATCGTGGTGGACGCAGGAGGATTCGGGGCAGATATAGACTCGCTTAATGATCTCAGTGCTCGTTCTTTGCTTAAGCTTCCATGGCAAGTTGTGACCTCTTCTGTGGAGTTGGAGGTTTTGGTCCCTTTGGAACCCCTTCTTACAAATTTCACACACAAACCGGTTTGTGGCCATCAGGGTCTTTGGTGACAAGGCTATCACTTCAGCAGTTGGGTCTGCATTTACATGGATTTTTCAACAACTAGTACATATGTTTCAATATTAATTAAATTAGCATTTGGAAGTTTAAATGCATTAAGAAATTTGGAACATTTTATTGTGGATAGTCATTAGGGGAAACGTAATGACTATCCACAATTTGGCGACCTGTAAACACTCGATTACAAGACAGATTCTTATCTCGTGTGAGAGAAAGGAAATAAGATGTTTCATGAACAATTGGAATGTATATATGAAGATCTTTTACTTGAAATAGTTGAACACACAAAATAAGGAAACAAAGGAGGGAGACCATAGTCAAGGCAAGCCAATAGTGTATACTTTACTCCAATAATTGTAAAACATCAAGCCAATAATTGAACCCCTTTTAAACTACTTAGAGATATCAATAATACATATGGTTCATGCTTTCTGACCCCAGCAATATTTTTTTTGTCTGGAAAACAAATAATCCACGGCTCTCCTTCAAGAACTGAATCAAATCTGTTTGAAGCTAGCTATCTAAGAACTAAACATTTGAAAAAATTAAATATATGCAAGCATGCATATTTTGACCAAGAGGATACATAGAAAGAAGTTAATTACTCGTAGATTAATTCAAAGTAATAATTAGAAGATAAGAAATACATGTATTGACGAAGAAACTAAAATGAAAGTTTTTAAATATCAATCAAGCTCAATTAAGCATATATATGTGCACAAAATTTCAATCAAATCTCTCCAACATCAATTTTTATTTATTTTTAAATGTCTTTCAAAGATAAAATGACTTCAAAATAATGACCATCTCTTTTTGAGGGAAAAATCTTGATAAAGAAAGATTAATCACAACCGAAAGAGAAAAAACTTGATTTGAGTTTATTAGACGAGCCAGACTACAATCAGGTCCGGTCTGCGGCTGACAAGCAGACTCAATTGGTGAACTTCAACAGAAAAGTAAGAACTTTTGAACTACTGATCTACCTGGAGTTCCTGGTAGGTTTCTTTTCTTCTTAGCTGGTGGAGCTTGCTTTTGTACTTGAGTAGTGGAAATACCATTGCTATTGATATTAGGTGTTGTTGGAAGGAAGGAGTTGGAGCCATGAAAGTTTGCATGGTGATTTAATAGCTCTTGTTGTTGCTGTTGAACTTCTTCTCCACCTGTATTTCCTGAAGAGAAACTCCCAGTAGCAGCACTACCTGTGATAATTGACATTGAAGGAAGATAAAGATAAAAGGAAGACAGATTTTTTTTTTTCTCACTCGTTTGTCTTACTTCCAGACTCTCCTTATTTGTTTCTTTCCCCACTTATCTTGTTCTTGGTGCTCTCTCACTCTCTCTCTCTAAAGCAAGGCTATATCTACTACTTCAAAAATTGATTAAATTAATGAGAAATTGAACAGAAAATAAGGGATCTGTTGTAAGTCTATCGGTAGACAAAACCCAGAAAATTCTCCTCCAATTGTGGTGAAGAGAGAGTTTTTGTTGGCATAATATGAACACAAGAACCAGGTCTTCCTTGGCCTTGTATTGTAGTAAATTTATAATATTATATTTTTGGTTCATGACACTGTTTTCCTTGATGTAGATTATAGATTTGCCCCTTACTTTGTAGGTTTTATTGATGTTACCCTTCTATTTTAATATTTCAAGCTAATTATTTTAAGATATATCTTTAGTATATGTTGAAAATAAAACAAAAGTGGCATTTTGACAGAATCAATAGAGCGTTTCATGACCAATTAAGACAACCGATTACAAGACGTGTCAGATGGATATAAATCTTTAGTGATCAATTTTTAAACCTAGAGGTCATTTGCACAAAAACACAAATGACTTTAAACTCTTATATAAAGCCCCACACATGCCACTAGTACTAGTAAATTCAACACAAATTTATCACAAGAATGATAGACGCAACAAATCTGATACCGAAACCCTCACATAAAACTATCGCAAATAATGAGGCTACATAAATCAACATAGTCACACAAACAACATCTACTGCTTAACCCGCTTAATGCGATATAAACAAAAGCATAAACTAACCTAAAAATAGTAAAATTAGTGCCGATGATGTGTCCACGTAAGAAAGGCAGGTACATATAGTTGACAGATGGCATGGCTAAGGGGATTCTCAACCCGAACTACTATCATCGTCGTAGCGCCACCACAAACCCATAACCCTATACAAGATTTGTTAACACCAAGAGCCGTCAAAGTTTCCATCGTCCGGCGTGGGTTACAGTTTTAACACAAACAACAGCAACGACATGTGTGGCAAAGAGGTTGCCAGGCTAGAGCCACCGACGACGCCGTCGTAGTCCACCACCACTAGGAACCCAAATCTAAGGGTTGAACGATACTTTCCAAGGGTAAGCCCCATAAAATTTACAAGACTAGAAGTTTTTTTTTTTTTTTTTTTTACAAACAATATTGTAAGAGAATCGAATTTGAGACCTGAGTGCAAGAACATACTTTACACCGAGGAGCAATACATATCATTATATCTACCTAATTCACTAAATTAGATTACAGAATAGTAACTCGTTGTCATTTATCAGGAAAAATAAAAATAAAAAAGAGTTCAAGAGCCCTAATTAGGCAATTTGGTTATTTTTGGGAAATCGAGGGGTCCCATTTATGTCTAATTAACCTAATAGTTTAACAATTTGGTCTATTTCCATACTAGTCTGGCAGTGGCAGACAAGGGCTTCTCGCCAAGACTTTTGTCTGTTTGTGAGTAGATTTATTAGTAAAAGAATATTTTTGTTCCCAAAAAGTCACATTCAATGAGCCAAAACCACAAGATTGCCACTACACAATTAGCCGCCCTAATGAGCGAAATGACCACACGACCCTAACTGTCACGGGTGGGCACACTGGACCGTGTTCTACTTGAAAAGGACCCGACATAAATCAAAATTCTTAGAACTCGTTTGGATGTACTTTTAAAATGATTGAAATCACTTTTATTGAAAATGTTTTTTAACCTAATTCTTAGTAAAAATAAAAATATATTATGGAAAATCACTTAAAATGCTTCTTATTAGAAGCACATAACTGATGTTTTTTTTGTAGAAATCATTTTAAGTGCTTTTGGAATAAAAAATTATTTTCTTAAAAAATGCTTTCAGTCATTTTAAAAGCACATCCAAACAAATCATTATATTCACAGGCACATGGTGTAGATCACAGACGAGGGGTATTTTTCATATTTCCAAAGCAATTGATGGTCATTTTGGTCATTGAACATGGCCCGCTTTAAAGGTGATAGGATTATGACGTGTCATCAACCAACCATTTCTGATTGGTAGTAAACAAAGTAGATTAGTAGATGCGAAAGCAATAGAATTGACCCGGTCGCAGCATGAATCGGAATGTATGACTGTTGAATCTTTTCGATGGACTTTTAGTTGAGAAATGAGACTCTTGTAAAAGCAAGAAGTTTTGTCATTTTATAATTTATCGTTAATTTTTTATATTAATATTATAAAATATTATCCAAAAAATATGAAGTGATAAATAATTTATGGAGAATCTCGACTTTAAATGATGAGTCCCTTCAACATTTATCTTCTTAGTTTAAGATTCAATGATTATAATCATAAAGAATGTTGTGGGCTGGTTCATACTAGACAAATTTCAATAAATGCATCAAATAAAACTTGTGTTTAAGCGTTTCACATCATCAATAAAGAACCTCTTACAAAAAATAAAAAGATAAAACTTTCGATATTTTCATTTCATACGATCCTAATTTTCATTCGATATAAGAGTTGCCCGTAGCACAAAACCTCCTGAATATAATACTCCCCTCATATTTATAGGATTGCATGGAGATAGAGGTCCATTTCGAATTCAAGAATCATGTATATACGTGGCTCGAGTTTAAGATTTCAAATATTCAAAATTTAAAAGGTATATTCTCTTACTTTTTATCTTTAAAAGTTTTTGTTTTATAAAAGTTCTTTAAAAAGGTTAAAGGTTACTCAATAGAGTAACAGTAACCCAGGAGCGAGAAAAGAGTAACAAAACAGATACGAACGCCGAATCTCAACCGTACGTTCTGCAAGTGCTATTTAGCTAAGCTTGCTTTTTGGTCAATTTTCAGCTATGCTTGCGGATGATGGGACTTTTGCATGGGTACGTATTTAGTTAATTATATCTTTATTTGAATTTTCTCTGCATTTTTTTGTTTGTTTTCCTTTTATAAAGTTATAATTAATACTTTCAAATTTGAAACTGCAGCCATGTATGCATGTGAGTCTCTTTTTTAATGTGCGTACGATCTGCTAAAGCCAACCCATCACATGATAAAGGACTGTATTTGGCTTGGCTTGTCCATGCGATCAGAAGGACTTTCATGGCGTGAATAAGCAACGTGCTGTTCAGTGCTAGTGTACAATGAGAAAACTGCATACAATGGACGTTCTTTTTTTGATCCTCGTAAAATGGAGAGACTCGTTGGCATGAGACCACCTTTTGGTATTGCTATTCACATTGATAGACCTCTTGTGCCATAAAAGTTGTTCTCGATTTATACATGTATATATGTTGTACGTTCCAAACTTTGAGTTTCTGTCTACGTTCAAATCCGTTATCTACATGTCGACGTGGGTTGCAGTTAAACAGTTATATATATAGAATTTGACGCGTACGAAACCAATTATATATGAATATCCATGTCCTACGCAAGAACTAGCCAGAAAAAATAATAATAAAAGAGGATTATACTATATATCTAAGGAAAATTTTATTTGAACCCATATAACCTCACTTTACACCCAACTTAAATTTAAAATGTGAACTGTCAGTTTTACCCTATTGTATAATTACTATCAAATACAAGATGAAATCAGAAATCAAACTAAAATTTATCAATGAACCCACTGCCGGTTCCAATGACAACTGAGGCCCTAAGTTAATTATCATTACTAGTGTATGTGTATGTATAAAATGATTTTGAGTCCTATAATTCATGCAGATTTGAATTACTGTGGCTAAAACCCAAGTGATGCCTAAGAATATGTATGTAATATGGATTTACATATTACAATTCCACCACCCAATAAACCTAATCTTAAAACCGAGGTAAAAACTTGAGATTAAAGCATTTGGAATACGCTACTGCATTTGTTTATGAAGCGGCAATGGGATAAAAACAATGGGAATGCAATTCAGATAAAGCACACAAGGATTAAAACCAACTCGATTTCTATTGTAAGAGAAATAAGCATATTGGTTTAACATTTCAATCTCAAATAAGTACAAAAACACCGTAACATGAGTTAATTACTTCATCTAATCTTGTCTGCTCACATAACTTCCCGATTCTAGATTGCTTGTTTGATCAATTCATCAAACACGACTCCATATATGTATGGACATTACACTCTCAATCAACGAGTTGTGGAAAACAAGTTGTAGAACACTGATTTTGGATTTTTATTTTTAAAATGGGTGTAAAGATAAATTTGCATATTATATTAGGCTTGTGAGGGTAGTTTAGGTAGTAAAATTGGGTTTAAAGAGATATTGATAATTTCATTAAAAACTATATGGGTGTAAAGAATAAGTTGGGTGTAGAAAGAAAGAAGTTATATGGGTTCAAATAAAATTTCCTTATATCTAATGGGGGCGGATCCGTTATGTATTTTAACGATCTATACCATCTATTTTATAGAATATTATTCATAGATAATTTTTTTCAAAAGAAAATTTGACAAATTCAAAACCATTAAGACCATTTATTTGTAGTAAAGAAAATATATGAATGCGATTCTACAAAGAAACCCGAACTCTTCAATGCAAAGATCATATGGTTTAAGATTTGAATGATTTTTAGTAGACATGATTTTAGAGAGAAGACTTAAAAGATAAACAGTTTGAATTGTTAAAAACATTACGAAGTGAATTCCACAAAAATGTAGGTAAAAAATTGTGTAAACTCTATATTACTTGCTTAGGGGATATGCATGGCCCAAATTAACAATAATTATTGCCTTAAATCTAATAATCTGATTAATTAGACATCGGTTGGACGTAGCTACCGAACCAAATATTGTATTAGTTAGTACACGCGTTTGATTACAGCTATTTGGCCAAAATACATGTTTAGTGAGCTTTTGTCAATCAATCAACGCTGAAGTCAAATTACATGTTTGTAAACATATACTGAATAGGATTAATTAATTATATGGCTGTAATCTTTAAGTGCAATGTAACTAGATATGCCCAAACGATCTCTGTCACACTAACCCACCTCCAACTGGACATAATTTTTTAACTGGTATTTTTAATCCGTGCGTTATATACAAGGGGACGGGATAGTTAATATGGTTGATATTTCATTAACATAATATACAATGCAGTTAATGAATATGTTACAACACGAATGAATGACAAAACTACATGCCGGCAGTGTTGTATGGTGATACAGAAAAACCCAAATGAACGCGAAGAAATTAAAGATCTAACCGATAAGAAATAGCAATACAACACGACAGAAGCGACGACAGACAG